AAACAATTAGTATAAACGGTCTTTGCAAAACTCCCTTAAGCCACAATTACTTCCAATTAATCAAAATTGTTTCTATTATTAAACGATCAAGAACTAATGAAGCTAAAAAAAATGTTTCAAGCCACCAAAATAATTCTAGCTCAGTGCAACGTATGTTCTTTTTCAATATTCTAATGACTTTCCTGAATAAAACTTCCCTGGTTGAATTCGAACTTGGTGTGCGTTTTTAATATGAAGTCTTAGCATAGATTTTTTAAAGTAAAAGCATACAAATATACAAATAATTTAGAATTTTGTTCAACAACAACTTTCAGTTGTGCATTTATAAACAAAAAATATTAGTTTTTTTTAGTTTTAAATAAAAAACTATTATTGCTTTTCGTTTTTGATGTTTGCCGCATTAGGAATAAAAGCAAACATTATTTTGATAAAATCTATTTAAGGTCCAAAAATAGGTCACTAGATTACATGCTTTTTCTTCCAACAAAACTAATTCACCTAACTGGTTCCTTTTTGCCCTTTTTTTAATTGGTTCCTTTTGTTTTTGAAACTAAACCTTGCTGTTTTAAATTATGCCGACAAAACGAGTACAGCTTAAAAAGTTAGAACGCGTTTTTCTCATATTGGGTTGATTTTAGCCCAAAAAGATGAAGACAAAACTTGCTGAGAATTTAAGCAAATTTTTTTGGTGCTAATTGTTTTTCACAGTTCGGGCCTAATGCCATTTCAATTTTTTCGTCTTTTTTCTCCTAATCTTCTACACAGAGGCAAAGCTTCGCTTCGCAGACACTAGCGAGAACACGAAAAAAGCAGTTCTACAAAAAGCAATAAGAAAAAGTAGAAATAAGCCTCGAATTAGCAAACAAACGGCTACGACTGAGATTCATACCGAAAACCTAGAGATTACGAGGCTCACACGCTGCTAACCACTCAGCCACGGATGCTTTATAGAAACCAAACACTTGTAAAAATTGAAAAAAGCTGTATGAGCTGAATTTGTTATTTTGACAACCACCTAACAGATAAAACCAGACAGCTCGTATACCAGGGAAAAGTCCTTAAAATTCCGACTGTCTCTTAACTGGTCTCGAAATTGACCTAACTTTTCGGACTGCTAATGTATAAAATTTTAAGACATAAAAATTGAGATGTATATGGAATCAACAAGACCATTTAGTTTACTTGATTTCAAATTGGAACCACAATAAGTGCGGGATGAGCTAGGTATTAGGTATCAAACAAATTTATTTGCATCAAAGCTTAGCCCTGACAATTCCAATTGCTTTTAAAAGTTTTCGAAAAAATTTAGATTTCAAAAAAAAGTTATGAAAAAGGGAAACCGTTTCTAAATTTTGTTTAGAAAACTTATCTCCCACGCGCTATGTAAGGTGCAAAGTGATATAATTCGCAGGTACCAAAGTATTCATCAAAGCAGTTAGCATGGCTCATATCAAATAGAAATGATTTCTTAGACAGATTAAAACTCCGCTCACGCGTTAATAGCACAAAATAAATTGTGTTTTGGTTATTCCAAACTGTACAACTTGGCCACTTGGAAAACCAATAAGTTTATTAGAAAAAGTCACAGGTAAAATACTTTCTGAATTTGAGCTCAAGTCAACAATTGCCTTTGATTGACATTTTTTAAACACTGTCAAATATTGCAAGCTGAAAAATTGAAATTTGTTAGAAAAAAAAACAGCGAGCACAGATATTCTGTCGGTGCGTCAAAAGTTGGAACAATAATCAAACGCGTAGGCTCGAACCGCATGTCATTACGAGGCCAGATTATGCACTTGATAGGAGCACAATTTGGTCTGTGTTTATCCAGTGATGTGTGTCTATCCGAATTTTTTGTTCAGTTTTTAAACATTTTCAAATTGAACGGAACAACAAAAGGAAATGAGAGGACAAAAGAAGAACAAAGAGAACGTTCTTCTTGTGGAATCGACTTTCAATTCACAAAATACAGGGGCGGATCTCGCGTCAGCACAGGGGCGGATCTAGGATTTTCTCGAGGGGGGAGACTTTTCCAAAGCACCAAAAAGTCCCTGTTTTGGCCCAAATTTCTGCGCCGCAGGCAAAATTTTGAAAAAAAAACTGGCTAAAAAGGCGTTTTTGGACACTTTTTGGTAACAATTTTTAACGCGCTCTCCCCCACTTAAAATAAGTATATATTGGCGCCAAAATCGCCATTAGAAAAAATTTAGAGTCCGTCAGCCAAAAGTGGATATCTCAAAATAAGTCAGAGGGGAGGGACCCTTTGGGTCGGTGGGGGTCGAATCCGTGAGAGGCCTCCGCCCCCCCCCCTAAATCCGCCCCTGCTTCAGCACCAGCTGATCTAGAGTGGGGATGGAGGACTTTCCTTGCCTCCTTAGGGATTCGACCCCCTAATGACCCAAAGAGTCTAGTTTGTACTAATTTGAGGCATCCATTTTTAGCTGGCGAACCCTTAATTATTTTTTGGCTGACGAGCCCATGTGTAAAATCAGTAGCTACCCAACGTGTCTTTACAAGAATCAGCAAAATCTGATTGAAATGTTTCACTGGGTTCTTCTAGTTTAGAAAGTGGAGTGTAGATTCGGAGGTTTAATTTTTTGAAACTTTCTTTAGATTCTTACCATGTGCCGAATACATTTGGCGACCCGGGTTGACCTCCATGCACCAAAAATGCTTATCAAACAATTCTATGCATGAAATGTATGAAAAAATACTTGTCATACAGTTTCCAAACAATTTCGAAAAATGGAAAAGACAAATAATTTCTGTGGCTGTTTGATTCTAATAAAACAGTCTGGTGATGAAAAAACCAAAATTTTAGTTTTTTGAAAAAAAACTAATCATACAATTCCCATATATGGAAATTGTAATACTTGCACTTTTTTGATGGCGACAAAAAAATTCGAGTAATTTTGACATTGTCCCAAACTTTTTTTTTTCAACCGCTAATCGAATTTTGTACTCAAACAAACATTTTCCACAAAAAAAAAATTAAGTTATATTTGTGAAATCAATTTTTATATCAGAAATCAATTTTTGTTTATGGAAAAATACTTGTCATACTATTTTCATATATGGAAAAATGCTGGTCATAGAGATTTCACTCATTTTTTTGTACGTATAGAACTGTATGGAAAGAAGTTTTTGTTTCACGGAAATTGTATGATAAAAAGTTTTGGTCAACCCGGGAACTCTGGTATTTTTCTCAATCTAGCTGTTCATCAGGTGCCATGACACAGACTCAGCTGGAACGGAATGACTCAAAAATTTTATGCGTAGCGGCAGTAGACTTTGAACACACGTCAATCACTGTAAAGGAATTCCAAGATGATCATACCATACCGGCTTTAGAATTATTTTTCCGTTTAGAGATTTTTAACAAAGAATTGCATGTATGCTTACATAAGTCTGTAAAAAAATTATGACGAAGCGTTTAACACTTACTTTGGAACCAAGTTCTTCAAACTACGGGTTTTGGTTTAACTAGTCAACTATACAAAAAGTTATTCCTGTAAATTGCAAGTAAGTCGAATATTAATCGCGAGCGAAGGTTTCGAAAACTTTTGCAATTCCAAACAATAGCCAACAATTCCGGCTCGTTCGTGCTACATTTGGTTTATTGGGTGTTAAAAACTTTAATGCATACGAAATCAGAGTCAAACTTTTTGACAACTTCCAGTTCTATTTATGCATTTAGTGTTTTATGGTTTGCATTCCAATTTATTTAGGTAAGGCTAATAGTTTACAAATGATGTGCGACGGTTGCAAAAGCCATAACTAGCGAAATCTTATGAAACACAGCTTCTAGTGTTTCCCCCTGAAGAAATTAATTTATTTCGTGGTTTTAAGGACTATCTCCATTATCACTGGTCAAGTTTTCTGCGGTAAAAATATGGCCAAAACAGGGTCTTTTTACTGTTTTGGGAGCGCACGGAAAACCAATAAACTCAACTTTAAAAAAATTTTTGAAAATCCGCCCGCGATGTGAAAATCCTAGATCCGCCTCTGCGCTTCAGTGTTTGTTAATATTATCAACGATTTTTTAAAAAATCTGTCAATGGTAACAACAGTTTTGTTACCCAACTTGTCTTTAAAGGAATCAACAAATTTTGAATGATCACTGGGTTCTTCTAGTTTAGAAAGTGGAGTGTAGATTCAAAGGTTTAAGTTTTGAAACTGTTTTTAGATTCTTACCAAGTGTCGGATATATTTGGCAACCCGAGTTGACCTCCACACACTGAAAATGCTTATCATACAATTCCATACATCAAGTGTATGGAAAAATGCTTGTCATAAATTTTTGGTACATTTTCGAAAAATAGTTGAAAAAAATTAAACTAATTTCTGCGGCTGTTTGATTCTAATAAAACAGTCGGGTGATGAAAAAACCGAAAATTTGTTTTGAAAAAATGCTCATCATACAATTCCCATATATGGAAATTGTATGACTAGCAATTTTTTGATGGCGACACAAATTTTTTCCAAGTAATTATGAAAATGCCCCAATATATATTTTTTTCAAGGGCAAATAGAATTTTGTACTGAAGCAAACATTTTCCAGTAACAAAAATTTTTATGCCAAATTGAATTTGTGTGCATAACGTAGTACTGGATACAGAAATGTTGACTTTCGTTATACCATTTTTGAAAGACAGCTCTAACACAATTCAGGTCGTTTTCTATGCTTTGTAAATGCAGTACCGTCCAACCCTTAGTGCTTTGAGTACCAAGGTCTTTGGAAATTATTTTGGCTCAAAAGGTGCATTTAGATACATTTTAGGATCGGTGGCCGAATATGGATGACGCAGAATGGTACTAAAAGGGTGTCGTTTGAGTGGTGAGAGACTTGAACCTCTCAGATCGGGGGGCGAATCCGTTCACCTAAATCCACCCTGATTTATACCTTTCAGAATTAGATCAAACGATTTCAATTTTTCGCTGGTAACCGCTGGCCAAACTTAAACAGTGAAATCTGTTCATTTCACATGTTGCCACAAAGAACACCATAGGTTTCACCGATTTTAAAGTGGCTCTCTCAACATCAATAAAGCGTATAGCTCAAATTCAAATCACTTCATGCATATTCAACTTCCAGGTTTTATTAAAATACTCCAGGTTTCACCGATTAAATTTATCTAACTTAAAATAGCTTTCTCAAAGTTCACAGTAGCCAGGATATTTTTTTGATTTGATCAAAATGGAAGACGTTTACCTTGTAATTGCCCTTATAATATTGGCAGTTTTGGTTGCGATGACCTTTTTGGGAACTGCGTTTGACCTCTATAGGAATCATTCGATCCTGTTTGACGCGACCTACAGTGCGAGGAGCTTCACGGCGAGAAGCATTAGGTCAGGAAGCATATTTAGCACAACTTCTATGACAAATGCAGCTGCTATTGTCAACCCATCGACCAACCCTAATTCGCCTCCAGGTAAGTATTTAACCTAAATATGCTCCTCGGCCGTTTAAACAGCAAAAATATACCGGGTTAACGTGTTTCCACCAACTAGCAAGTCCATTTACCAAGGAAACTTTAATCCTATTTGTTTAGGAAGTCAACAGTACATTGATTTAAAATATATCATTTTTTTTTACATTTTTTACGAAGCAAGCTTTTTAGCAATGAATTTCGAACAGTTCAAAATGTTTGCATAGTGTTAATTAATTTTTCTAAAGCAAGCTATCAAATATTAAAACTTGTCAAGTTGTTTTGATGCCTTAGTTTGGATCGCAAAGCAATGACTTGTTTTGAAACCAGCTTTAAGCATAGCAATAGTTCCAAATTTTTGGTTCACTCTAAATTGAAAGATTCCGAAGCTAGCTATCACATCGGGTACCTGAGTCGTGGAGTTAACGGTTTAAGGGTTTTCAAGCAACCTATCAAGCAATAAAACTCTAGAATATTTCAAGCTGTTTTGATAGCTGCATTTGGTTTACAAGACTTCGAAGATTTTCAAGTGAACTATTCGGGCGATAAAAAATTGAAACCTTTTGTTTCAATGCGTTAAATTGGAGTGCAATGGATAAAACTTGTTAAGCAAACCATTCGAGCGATGAAATTTTCAACGAATTCAAGCTGTTTAGACAGCTTGAGCGGAGCAAACAAAAGTTTCCGACGCAAACTAACCAAGAGCTGAAACGAATTGTTTTAGTTTTCCTCGAATTGATTCACAGAAGAAAAGTTTCCAACGCGAACTTTCAACTTGTGAACTTATACGTTTTTTTGATGGCTTGCATTGCTTTGCAAATCTAAGTTGTCTAAGGCAAGCATTGAAAAATTTGATTTATTTTTTTGATAGCTCATTTGTTCGCAAAAAATCAAGTTTTTTTAAACAAATTATCAACAATAATTTGAAACATTTCATTTGTTTTAAACGCTCGAAATGGTTTTAAACAAATGAAATTGGGCTATTCAACAAATGAAACTGTAGAGTAATTCAATTGAATTTCATAGCATGAAAGATTTACAAACGATAGGACGCTTTTAAAGCAAGCTATCGGCGCGAAAAAACTTCGAGAGCCCTAATTTTTTTGTTCCGACCATTGAAATTAGGGAAGAACTTTGTATTCGGGTTTGTTTCTTTGTTTTTTTTTGTTTTCCGCTAGAATTCATGCACTAAAATTAATCATGGGACTAGGTTGAGTGATATGTCATTTTGAAGCCCTTTCAGTCGTGAATCGAACAACGTAAAAAATCAAAAAAATTCCGAGTGTAGAGAAAAATGGTTTGAAAATTTTGGTTTTTCTTCTCAATTCGACCTAACAAAGCGAGCGAATGTAGCTTATTTTAAGAGCTCAAAAGCTACTAATAGCTTAATTTAAAAGGTAAATACTTAGTTTTATTCGAATAATTTAGTTTTTCTTAGTATTTTAGCGCCTTTTTGGAATCAAAAACTTACAAAGTTCAAAAAACTGCAACAAAATGAAATATTTTTGCTTTTTTAAAAAAAATTTTCTTGTTTTTCTAGCCGTTTTCAAAAATTGTTTATTAATTTGCTTAATTTACTATGAATGTCCAATCTGCCTAATCTCTAGTTTTTTGTTCAGCTACTTTTATCACACCGCGCCGAAAACAAAACTACAATAATTTAAAAAAAAAAAACTTTTTTGTTGTATTTTTTAAGACTATGGTCGGAACACCCTGGACTACTCGAGCAGTAACCGGCTATCCTTGTTATGTTTTGAGTTGGTTCGCCTAAAAGTAGGTTTTACAAAGAAAGCTATGTATGTTAAAATGTTTTAATATATGATAATTTTTAAGGCTCTTCGAGAACAGGGCTTTTTCCCGTTTTATCCCAGTTGCCTAGTAACAAAAAAAAGACAAGCGCACGTTGTTTCTGATCTTTTGGGGGATAATAATTTTCTGTGAGGTCTAATGAGAGAGCTAAATAGGCTAGCGATTAACAAGCGTTGTCAAATCGGAATCTGATTTTTTTGGGAGAACAATTTGATTATCAAAATCACTTGATTCTTTTGATAGCTTGGCTTTTAAAAAAATAAATACATTTCAGTAGCGCTTGCGGCATACTTGGCCTGTATATAAAAAATACCCTTGGGATGGCAAAGGCCCTGGAATGTAATCTGGCCAGAACCTATTTTTTAAAGCCGAAGGAAAATCGTCGATCTAATGGCTGTCTGCTCATATTTTGTCAACTTGGTTGCCAAAGCACGTGTGCTTCAAGCTTTTTGCTTAAAACTATATTAGACCTCACGTACTAAATTTTTCAATTTCTTAACTAATTTAGCGTCATTTGAACAGTATATAGTTTTTTCTTTCACTTTCTGTGCTCCCGAAGGGGGAGCGCAAAAACTTGAAAATTCAGTACTTTTTCAGAAGTTTTTTACGACAAAGAATTATCATGCTCAATAGGAATTTATCTGTTTTAACTTGTAATCTTAGTTTTGTAACTGGTTTTTCGACTTGTGGATTGCCTTTGATTTTCTTTCTGCTAGCTTGCAATGATATGTTTGTGTTTTTGCAAGAGGTGCAAAGTGTAAACGTCAGTCGCCCTGTTTAACAGTTGTTTGCAAAAATTTTTGAACCACTGTTTTCACTTTGGCGACATTCATCTGATTATTAACTTAAATATTGCGTTTATAGAGCATTTGGCGTTGCGTTTAAATAATAGAGGAATGATGATGTTCACAATGTATCGTCTCAGAGATTTTCAAAGAGAATGAAGATCTTAATTTGGAGAAGCGGTTGTCACAGAGAAAGTGAACAGCACGGACGATCGTCTTTTCCCTCGTAAAAATGAATGAACACTATCTTACATTGTTTTAGGTAGCTATGGAACCACAGCAGAAATGGATATGTTGAAAATCCAAGACCAGTTGCAGAACCAGTCAACAATTAACCAATTGCTTCTTTGTTTCTCACTTTTTCGCAACCTGTCTCAACACTACGCCATCTCGCTTCAAGGTACAAGTATGATAGATGGGTCACAAAGGAAGCTATCATATGAGAACAGATCCTGAGATACTAAAAAAACGCCCAGTAACAAATGGCGTCACAATCAGGGTAGGATCAGTGACTTTCACTAAAAGGGGAGGGGGGACGGCCAGATGTTCGAAAAATTTGCCTTTTTAGGCCGACTTAATTGATTTTCAGAGTTAATTGTGTTTATTAGTACATCAGGAAAAAGTAGCAAACTAATTATGTCATCTGAAAAATTCAGCGAACATTCCAAATAACCCTCTCGTGTAAAGAACGAGATCCACAATGGAAGTCTCCGCAAACTGGATAATTAAGTTTCATCAAAACTGATTCTCATTTGGGACGCATCTTTAATACTTGTACTTATATTAAGACACGAATGATGTGAAACCCATTTTCGGTCTTAAGGAAATCATCGTCAAAACTTCTATCAAATAAATAAACTTTGATTGAAACATGCGAATTTTTAATATTTATCTCATGGAAGAAGGTCCTTAGATTTTATTGCCCTATTTCTGGCACAAAAAGTTGTTACGGAGTTATTCAGTTTTTTTGGTTTCTACACCTCTTTTCACGATAAATTTAGTCTTCAAGTATACTTAGTTTGCTGTGTTTCAATTACAAATACGTTATACAAAAAACATTCTTTAAAATTGGATGGATAATTTAATGTAGCAAAATGTATTCATAGGTTCAAAAAGTGATAATTTAATTTTGACGATGCCCCATTGAAGACATTGGCGACTTTTGGGGTTATTTGGGTGAATTCCGTAAAACTAGCATGGCTCAAAACAGAACCACAGGCCGACGACTTCGACCTCCTTCGATATAAGATTGTCTTCTTATGCACTTCAATGCTGCTCACAATTTCTGTTTCTATGAACACTTTCGGAAATATGGAACGGAAATACGAAGGAACATTTAGATACTTCTGGTACGTTTTCAAACGAATGGCAAGGCTGCTACCTAATTACATCATAACAATTCTGTTCGTAACCGGAATAGTCGGTCGCTGTCAAAATCCGAACACAATTCAAACGACTGGACTCGTTCATTCGTGTCAAGATGATTTGTGGCAAAACCTTCTCTTCATCAATAATTTTTTTCAGAAGAGTTTGGACCACATGAAGTGCTTGCCTCAAACGTGGTACATCGCAGCAAACTTTCAACTCTGGATTTTTACTCCAATAGTATGGCACGCATTTTTTGTTTACCCAAAAATAACCATCACGATCCTTGCCTGTTCCGGATTCATTCAAATGACGGCGGCAGTGGCTCTATCGATTGCTGTTAATGATTTCAACTTTTTTGAATATTTTGCTTACCAACCTTACTTTCAACTGCCAGCATGGGGTTTTGGACTTATCGCCGGGTTTCTTTTATGTAACCAAAAAGTTCCCGGACTTGGCAAGAAATCCCAATGTGCTTTATGGTCGGCTGAACTTCTATTTATTGTTATACCATTCTGGTCGATCTTATTCGGCGTAATTTCGGCAGACATATTAGTTGATATATTGGTTATTATATCGCCAGTTTTTGTGGCCTTATGCATTGCATATCTGGGCAGCGGTTACGGAGGCGTACTGAATGATTTTCTCAGTCATCCTTTCTGGGTATTGGCCAGTCACAGCTCTTATTCCACCCTACTTTGGCACTGGGTTTTCATCAACTGGGTTGGAGCACGAGCAACAGAATTCATGTCAGCGAACATATTGCATGCTTTCATGTTCTCAGTTGGCTGCTATTTCTGTTCCATAGCATTATCAATTTGGATCGAAGCTCCTTTCAGGGAAATGATGAAAATAAAACGACCCTACATTTAACCCGACAAGGAAGTTAGGTCGAAGCATTCCAAATTTAACTCTAATTATGCACAATAGAGCAAGCGGTTTGATGGAAACGTAAATTAGAAAGCAATAAATTGACAAAGCTGACATGGTTGCGCTATGAAAAGGGGAGGGGCTTTGAATCAGTTCACTATCATCACTATGCTACCATTCAAACGAGCCTTAGACTTCTGCCTTATTAGGATTTAAATATTAGCATGTTCACAACATTCATGGTTTGGGTTAAACACAATGAATTGCATTAATTTAACCTTCTACTGAAAAAACAAAATAGACCTATACTTTGTATGAAGTATCAGAGAGTTTTCAGTCAAAGTCTACCTTATGCATCATGTTTTGGTTTTTCCTGTGTCCCTGAGGGAATGCCCACTAACATTTCGGAAACGGTCAAAACAAAAACTGTGCTCATTTAATTGAACTTCCTCCTTACAAACCTTCAAAGCATATTGTCTCGAATTTCAGGCCGTCAAAACAAGCCGAAATCTAAAAATTCCTTAAGGGTTTCACAATCATAAGCACGCAGACAGTGTCGAAAACAAACTCTTTAAACAGGGGCGCAGCTGAGTTTCGCACCACTTGCAATAATTAATAAAAACTAGAAAAAATGATATATGTTCTCGACTGGTTCTCTTCAAATTATTTAATATATATTTTTCTGAAGTATGTTCGATTTGATAGCACTTGGTAAGGGCAAGCGTGGAGATTGTCATAAAACTTAAACCAGAAATTACCACATTCTTGAATTTTGCCATATTTCAACAATTTCTTAACTAACAGAAATTTTTGGCGAGTAGGATATACAAGAACCTGAGAAATTAAATTAAGAAAATCGAGCTGAAGAAGCCATTGAAAAGCTTATTGAAAAATAAAATACAAGGCATTTAAGAAGAAAAAAATTGGAACGAATTGCAAACGGCGGAAAAAAAAACAATTCAATTTCCTTCTAAAAAATTTCCGCTTTAGATACACCAACACTGCATTAGAAAACATATTTAGATGCAAAAAACTACCATAACTAATAACAATAAAGATAACCAAAACTTCTGTAGTTCTGCCAACAAATTTAATTTCGGCAAAAATGTTATCGCACGGGTACTAAGTAGTCCTTAATGTCTTGAATAATAAAGACAAAAAAAATCATAATTTACATTACTTTTAAACAAAACAATTAGATTTATGGTTACTTACCTGAAAAAGCAGCAACACTAGAATACACTAGAACTCAAGCGGAAAAAATAGACAGTAAAACTACGGATAGTAAAGGACCATTATTGCACCCAGAATAATGAAAAAAAAACGTTGTTTTAATTAGGACTTTTAATTAGGACTAAAATGATATGTTTTGACCGAAATCAACAAAGTCAAATTAAATCACTGAGACCTATTACATAATAAAACTATCTAATGAGAGTAATTTTTGCAGATAACACCTACAAAGAAGGGCGTTGATAACATGATGATTAATATATGCTGAAAAATGACAGAAAAACATCAAATTTTCGAGATCCTTAAAGTTACTCTAAACTTAACGCATAATGTATGTAAAATTATAGCTTTTTAATTATATACTACTTTTCAAACTCAAGTCAACCACTCACTCAACCTGAAAACAGAGGCGAAGTTGCACTTTGCATACACAAGCAAAAATATAACCGATTACGCTACGGGGAAAGTATTTCAATAGGTTTTTTGAATGATATACCGGAGACTCGAGACAGATTTTGAACTCGTAAAAACTTGAAGTAAAGTAACTGTCGGGCTTCACTTAGATGAAGAAAAGAGGGCTGACCCACTTTCACTTGCAAAAACATTCAAAGAACTTTTCACGACGATTGGATCAAAACTTGCTGATCAAACTCACAGTATTTCCCAATAACCAAAAAATATTTGTAAAATTGAAGTTAAAACACTCCCAATAATCAATGAAGTTTTGGAAAAAATAATGTTATCTCGCATGTATAATTATTTAGGATTGTTCAAACAAAACTGGGAGTTTAAATAATACTTGAGAAAATCCCAATTACCAATGAAGTATTTGAAAAAATAATAATCTTTCGTCCGTATAATTCTTTAGGATCGCTCAAACAACTTTTCCACAAACAAATTGGTTTTCGCCGAAAACTCGCAGCCACTGATGCCCTGACAGAACTAATACAATTTCAGTCAAACGACAAATTCGACTGTAGTTTCTTCATTGACCTTACAAGGCATTAGATAATCTCAATCACAAAATTCTGCTTGAAAAATTGGGAACTTTATGGATCAAGGGTCTTTGCTATAAATGGTTCGAAAGTTACCTTTCAGGTCGTTACCATTGTCTTCATAACAAATGAGCTATATCCAGCAGGTTACCAATTAACATGGAGGTCTTAGGTCCGCTGCTTTTTCTACTTTAGTTGATTGATATGCCCAAAATAGCGTGGGGCTCGAAGCTGCTCTTATTTGTAGCAAATTATACGAACACTATTGTCTAGAGTTCCAGACTGACAAGTTTGAATCTGACACCCGCGTTGTTAATAACTGACCAACTTCTAATAAAATCACTTTAAAACTTGATAGATCTATTTTATTTAAATTTGGACGTCTTACAGAAGCTTCCCATCTACTCGTTGCTATTAATCATAATCTGTTTAACCCTTAATTTTCATGAAAAAACTAAGGTGTAACTGTGGATAATAAGAACTGCTCTTGCATCACATTGCAAAATCGAAACAAAACTTGGACGCCATTCTGGTAAAAACAAGTGTTACAATTCTAAGAATGAGCCAATATTTCAAAATGGCCTCCTGGTATATGGGTCCACCTGTTTTTCGAATATGGCTCCACCTATGACCTGGATTTTCAGCGGAACATATATTTTTTCCGTTCCTGAGCTTTATGTTCATGATCTTCTGCGAAGCTCTGTTCCTGTTTACATTAAAACATTTGTAGAAAAAAGTTAAACCAGCCTCTTACAGATTAGCAAGAAAATTTGTTCTGGTGAAAAAGTCTAGTTCCCGATAACAGGTCACTTGCTCTCTCAAGTGAAACAAGCTATGCTATAACTGCTAGCAAAAATTATTTCAAAAACACAATTGACTAAGAGGCAAAGCTGAGCTTCGCACAACTTGTGACAACTAGATCTATCAAAATGAATGAAGATAATTGTGCAAAAAAAAAACACGCCCGAACAATAGAAAGAAAAATCAACATCAAAACAATACTTACCATGCGCAGATAAAGACGCAGAAGAGTCAAATGACACAAAATGAGGCCACTAAGCCGATATATTATAGGCATAAACCGAAGAAAAAAAAAACAGAACATGAAATTCTTAAACCGAGTTAATAGTTAATATGAGTAGTTAATATGAATAGACCGCAAATTTTAAATCCTAGCAGGCTCATAATACTTTTGTTGCAACAGAAAGACCCAGTAGATTAATGAGTCCAGGAACAGGAAATATCACCTCTGAACAGAGTTATTTACGGGAAAAAACTCTACAACAAGATTGCAATACTCTTCCTCCCGAGTAAAAATATGTCACTGAACAAGTTTTAATAAAAAGTAAGACTATCTTAATGCAACTTGTTAAAAACTACCATATGAAAACAACGATAGCTGGTTGCATGTTTCAACCACATTCATAAAAAAAATAATTAAAAAATTTCGTTTTTTTTAAAATTTAGAAGTCTCTTTAAAAAGGTGGCGTGATGAAAAAACTATATAAATGCGTAGAAATTTATTGAACTAGGCATTATCTTCAACAATTGTCTTCTTTAGATGAATAACAGACAAAAAAATGGAAAAAACAAGCAACAAAGAATTTCAACTTTTTCTAAATTTTTTGCACAATAAGTTTTTATTTTTTTTCAAAATTTTTTCGTGCCAAGGAAGCGCTAATTGAAGCTTCCAAAACTAGATTTCCTTTTATCGAAATCAAAATTTCTCGGCCTAAATGATCAATTTCTACATAGCGAACGTTACTCGATCGCGTTACTCGCTCGAAATTACACTTCAAAAATTTCAAACCCGTTTTTATCGAAACTGGGACAAGTTTTTGACAAATTTACTATATCGTTCGAATCACGACTGAAAGAGATTTAATATGATTTATCACTCGACTCGATCCGATGACTTTTTGTTGTACCTGAATTTGCGTGTAAAAACAACTAAACAATCAGAAAAGCAATGAATTACAAAAATGAATACATACTAACTGAAAGTACCAAGAAGTCAGTTAATCTACTCAGCTTCAGTTATTACGTTTTCTCTGATCACTTCCATAAGTGGATCTTGTTGATTAACCACATATGTCATAGTTTTCTTCTGGTAGAAATTACTTTGCATTTCTAGATTCTGAATCACATCTGAAAGAAGGTGTGCTCTCTCTACTTGCACGTGGGTTCCCTGAATATGAATAGATGCAAAATGGATATGCAGATGGTAAAACGAAGGCTGGTAGTGAAGAAAAACACGCAACTTTTCTTTTCCAAATGAAAACTTCTCTTTGATACCTTTCAAACACAGTTTCTGCACATTTCTCAACAGGTCCAAATGACTAGCATTCAAGTCTCTGATACTCATAAGGTCACGTCTGTTAACTATGGCCACAGCGTGAAACGTTTGCACGTCGCTTAAATCATTTGCTCTCAAATCAGGAACGCATACAAAGCCAATTTGTGGGTCAGCATCTTCGCATATTATTCTCTCAGATTCGCTTTTCTTCTCTAAAATATTATATACCCATTGGCAATTTAGAGCTTCTTTTTCGAAAAACGGCTTCACGAAATCAGAGTACAACTGAGGCGTTTCTTCAAAAACGAAAGGATCTTTCGCAGAATACTTGAGAATATGCCGTTCAATAGCTGGATAAATCAAAGTAGTTTTGATTTCATTTGTTGCTTTTGACTGCACTAAAACTTTATGAGTCGAATAAATATCATTTGAAAAAACAACCTGCGATCGCAAATCTTCAGAAAGAACCTCCTCTGCAATTTTATCATCGAATGGTTGCTTTTCTAAAATTATGACACCCATTTTTTCTTCTTTTTCCACCTGTAAGAATATAGTTTTAGTGTCATTGTGACAATTTAGCTGTTTAACTAATTTGAAGTTGGACAGTTGATCACTCAGTTCCGTTTTGGACATTTTTTCTGGAGTCGGATGAGATTCTGATGCACCATTCGAGTCTGAAGCTCTTTTCATGTTCTCTGAAGAAACCTAACACTTTAACTGGAAAAATCGATGTGACAATACACTTTATCAATTAATGATTGAAGTGCAAAGATATTTTCTTTACCCTATCATCCAAAATCTAAGCTAAGAAAATTTGAAATTAAAAGATTCCAAGCATAGTTAAATTATAATTAAATTACAAGATTGAACATACTGAAGTGAAACAATGATCATGTCAATTAAAATCATGATCATGTCTGTATAGGGTCTCTAACGCAGTGAATTTATTACTAATTTGTAATTTGTACCTGCCTGCGTCCAGGGTTGGAAAAAATCAATTAAACAGCGTTTTTTAAACATGTCTTTTTGTTTCTATTACAGTTTGTTCAGCTCTAACTTTCTGCCCTCATACCGATGATCTAATAGATATGCGGCAAGAAAAACGGGAGTCAGATAATCATCTCTTCTTTTTGCTACAAAACGTTAAGATGATCCGGTGCAGCATTGTAGAGATCGAGACGGCCCAATAACGGAAGGCGGCTCATACCCCTTTCGCAGCGGTTCGACTCTCCCAGACGATGCTAGTTTTTTGGCATAAAAGTTTTAAAAAACAGTTTTTTTTCTGTTTTAAAACGTGTTTTTTGCCTTGTTTTAAAACATTCCAAACCCTGCCTGCGCATTAAACTTGCAATGTGCTAAATACAAAAGACAACTAGACTCTAAAAGCTGATCATGTAACACAAACTCAAACAAGTCGCAAACCCGATATAAAATAAACCGACATTCGGCATTGACTCGGCCTTTTTTGAAAAGGTTTTTCATTTGCCAAATGTGCATAGGCTCATAAATTTGACAGAAAATTTATAGTTTTGAACATTAAGTTGAAAAAAGCCGAATAAAATCTAAACGAGAGAGACAAGCTTTTCGAAATAGCCAAATAAAATTAATCTGCATTAATCTGGACTAAAAATTGAATACGAAAATTTGTAACTTCGTTGACAGTAAGTGTGAACTGATCTTATAATACAAGGTTCGGTTGGATCATTACTGATATCACGCATTCGTCGATATCAGGTATCAAAGAATTCTCCTAGCTTTTGCATAAAACTTAGCACCAAAATGCGAGACCTTGGTTGGAACAATTTGACTAATTTTATAAAACTACTCGCAAGCTCGCTTGTGAAAAAAAAATTAACTTAAAATACTATAATAAAAAATTTGCTGAAATAAATTACAACATAGTTCAACTTTAAACATAACCAACAGACAGTTGGAAAAGAGTCGATGTACGCAAGGAATCAAAAAATACTGACTTGCTTTTTGAAACAAAAATTTAACTTTCGAAATTTTTAGAACAAAATAGATGGCTTTAAAAACCATTGACACTTTTTTGATAAAATTAACGCAACTTGAGAAAACTTGATCCATAGATCAAAAAATTTTATTTAAAATTTTGAAACTCTTTCGAAATTAGAAGTCGATCAACTTTTTTCGTGACCTGAATATTTTGCACCTCGATAGTTGAATTTGCCTTCGTTTTAACAAAGGAAATGAACTAACATAAAAAAAACCTAGCATCAAACCATAAAAACAATTAAATTTCAGCGTGACGAAAGTTTAGGAAGTCACTCATAGATTCTAAATAAAGAAAAAAAAATCAAAACTTTCAAAAAAAAATCAGATTAAAATTTGAACAAAGACGCAAAACAGCGCTACGCATCTCTTGCTTTCGATTAAACCGTAGATAAAACCAGTGAGTCAAAAAATATCTAATTGGAAAAAAAACAGATAAAATTTTAAAACTGAAACATGGTTTAAGAAAAGAAAAACCAATTTCAGAAAAAAGACGAGAAACACAACACCAGCATTGAAGCAGCTTTAAGTATTTAATTGAAAATACGTGCGTAGACGACCATTGATAAATAATAAAACTGACATTAGAAATTGAGGTCATAAAAATATGTGAAGCGATTAAGTTTTTGAAAATTTCAAATCAGACTTGAAACTACTATGAAAAAAATTTGCAGCAAAATCAAATTCAGTGATATGGCAACAAAGGCGACAAAAAAAATTTCGTACTAACTCAAGAAAAAAACAGATATGTAGGAAAGTTGTTTGCGGGAAAAGAAGTCTAGTTCCCGATTACAGGACACGCAGGTGTTAAAAAAACGATCGAATTCTTGATAAGAGAAGCGAAAAAATCATCGGTACTCAGATAAATTTTAGAAGGTTTTTGAAGTCATTCAGCGCGTACCCCCATTGCTACCAATTCAATTATTTGACGCCTGATTTCTTGTTTTTTGGGAGACAAAAATTTCATACAAAAACAATTGAGCCAAATTTAAGGAACAAGATTTTTGAAGCGAAGTCATGCATATATTCTAAATAAAAAAAACACTATCAAATACTTGAATTGAATAAATAAAATTAATAACTTGAACAAAAAAGATCAAGTCAAAAAATTGTTTTTCAAAAAGCACATGCTACCTGTACACCAACAGGTCAAATTCATCACTTACCGTCCCATTCAAACATACTAAGTAATCTAGAGTATAAAAATCAGAAACCAGGAAGAGACAGAAACCAGGAAGATAATTTGAAAAAAAAAAAATTGGAAAGTAAATACTACATTTACAAAAGACTTCATAAGTTTGCCTCGAATGATGTTCAGTTTAAGGCAAAACATCGAGCAGTATAATCACAAGCGTTAACTGAGCATTCAGAAAATTTCATGGGGTGGCAACTTAGCGAAAAGAAACTGAGACAAAAACCAGAAAGTCGAAAATATTTATATTTGGAAAAAAATAGATTAATATTAAAAACGAAAAACTCTATTTCAGCAAAACAGTCGAGCGACACAACACTAACTTTAAACAAGCTTTTAGTATTGAATGAAATTACGTGGGTAGACGCCCATTCATAAATATCAATACTGACATTAGAAACTGATGTCATGAAAACTTGAAGCGCTTAAGCTTTTTAATTTTGAACTTTTGCAACACAACTTTCCTGAAATATTGATGATCAATTTTACTCTTCAAACGACATAAAAGATATTCAATTACCCGAAATAACAAAAGGCAAAACCATTCTAGCTGAATAAAAATTTCAAGTGAAAAAAAAAGAAAATATACTAAATCAAGGTTAGTTTACTTACATATTACAGGATTATATCAACAACACTGAAACTACAATAAAAATAGCTTGCGGTACTTTCAAAATCCAGGATGTTGCAACCAAACCGACAAAATATAAGCAGACAAACGAAGTCCGACCATTTAATTTTGGCCGAAAAAATCGTACATAGTGAAAAAATCCAGATTTATAAGAAAAGTTGTTTACGGGAAAAAAAGTCTAGTTCTCGATAACAAAACACGCAAGTGTAGAAAAAAGACCAAACTAAACGCTTGATGAAGGAGATAAAAAATCATCACTACTCAAAAAATTTGAAAACATTTTGAAGTACGTTCCCTATTTCTACTAATTCAATCATTTTACGACTGATGTCCTTTTTTTGTTATTTGAGGGACAAAAATTTCATACGAAGCCGATTATTTTTGTTCAAAATTCAGCCAAAATTATGAACGAAAAAAGTTGGCGAAGTAAAGCATAGATTCTAAAAAAAATAAACACGATCAAATATTTGATTTGGAAAATAATAGTAATAACTAGCGTGTAACGCACCTCCGGTGCTTCGATGTCCTTTTTTGTTATTCGAGTGACAAAAATTTCATACGAAGCCGATAGTTTTATTCAAAATTCAGCCAAAATCATGAACAAAAAAAAGGCGAAGTAAAGCATAGATTCTAAAAAAAAAAACACGATCAAATATTTGATTTGGAAAATAATAGTAATAACTAGCGTGTAACGCACCTCCGGTGCTTCGAATTTTTGACATATCATAAAAAAGACATATCTCGGAAACTGAGATGAATCGAAAAGTCAAACTTCGAGGAAAGAATTGGAACCTCTGAGATCATGCCCTTATGGGGTTGGGAATTTCCAATTTTACAATGTTTTTTTAGTTCAACATTTTCAGAAAAATTTTGGTTACAAATTGAAAATCGTCTATCTCGGAAACCAAAAGCTCTTGAGGTGCCATCTTTGGAGGCAAGAAAAGTTTCAATCGAAGGTTTTTATATCTGAGTTCTTCGTAAATTTTTAGAAAAATTATTATAAAAAAACGTCATGACAGCGATCAAATATAGGGTTGCTAATATCAAAATTAGCGAAGTTTCTTAAATCTAATAAAAAAACGTCAGATCTCGGAAACCAAAAGGATCTTAGCAGTCATATTTGGAGGCAAGATTTACAACTGCTGAAAGTACCGTGACAGCACCCCACCATTGAGTTGCTGGTATCACAATGTGATGTTTTTCAAATGAAAGTTTTTCGAATATTCTTCAAAAAAATCATAAGGAAGCCATATCTCGGACGCCAAAAACATTTGAGCAGTCATAATTGAAGGCAAGATTTGCAATGCCTGAGAGCACCTCAGACTATAGAGTTAAGTATTTCAACTTTCGAAAAAGTGATTAAAAAACGTCATATCTCCAAAACTAAAAGGATTTGAGCAGTTATATTTTGAGTCAAGCTCAGCAACCCCTGAAAGTCCTGACAGCACTTAACTACAGGGTTGAGATTTTCAAATTTTTTGAATCTAAATTATATGAAAAATTTCAAAAAAAAATCACAAAAATTGTCTTATCTCATAAACTAAAAAGATTTGGGTATTCGAATCTTTAGGCCAAATTGGCAACCCCTGGGGAAACCCTGACAGCATCCCATTTTTGTGTTGCTAATTTCAAACTTTAAGAAAAAACACAAGCTGGAAAATCGAAAAAAATTCTTAACCATTGCAATTTACACCATAGTTTAAACTCTTTCGTTAAACATGGAAGCATAATACGTTAAAATATTTAAACATGGCGAGATAGTGAAGCCTGCATTAAAATATATAATAGATTTGAATAGCATTTGAATATATAATAAATTTGAATAAAAAAGATTGAATTAAATACTGGAAAAAGATCAATTAAAAAAATGTCTCTCTCTCTCTCTACGCCTGCTGGTCGATGTCATCTCTTGCACAACCATTCAAACATATTACTGTAAACTTGTGGGCACAAGACCATACAGCAGCCATTAAGATGATTAAAAAAATTGAAAAATTAAGAATTTGTCTACAAAAGTGTTGTTCAATTCAAAGCAAAAACATCGAGCAACGAAATCGCCAGCTTATTTGAGAACATCATGGAGTGGCAAATAAGGCCAGATGCATAAAAGTAGATGCGAGTTGAACCAAAATAAAACTGTTCTCACAAGGGGCAGTACAACTGTGCCGAAAATAAAAACATAGTTCAACAGTGCCAAAAACTTGAACAAATTTGAACATATTAAAAGCGGCAATCAAAAATTAAACGGCGATTAGTGACATTTAACATTTTGAGCGAGAAAATTTGCAACTTAAACGTTTTGGCGCCAAAACTGGAGTGATTTGAAATTTTACACTTCAAGGTTTCCATATAAAACAAGCAAAACATTGCTTCATTCAATTCCTTTTAGTTGAACAGCAATTGATTCATTTTAATAATTAACTTTCGACTGTTTTTGTTTTCGGCACTTTGCCCATGAGTTTTTCGCCCATTCGGTCCTTCGCTCATTAGAATAGCCCCCAAATAGCGTCAATAATTTCTCGCTCTTTAGAAAATGCGTTTAAGTAATTGAAATTTTCCCGCCTGTTTCGGCACTGTTGTACTTCGGCACTGTTGAACGCCCCCTTCTCACATGAAACATTTCGGGCTATAAAATTGTGAAAAACATGATGACAGAAAAATTTTCAAACAACACAAATTGGGCAATTAAGCCAAAGCCATTTCGCTTTTACAATTCTTTTAAGCAAAAAAAGCACTCAAAATATTACATTAAGTCAAAGAAATTATACATAATCATCCAAAGAACTGGTAATTTTACACAGAACTAGTTAAGCTTACAAATCAAATTAAATTATTTTGACTTTGAATTGATAAACTTACAAATAAGAGCAAATCATCAAGACCTTATACTCGAGTGAAAGTTGCTTTAATCACAATCTAAATTCTGCGCTGTGGCAACTAAGCAGACAAACAAAAACAATTTTTTCAAGTTTGCAAAAAGAGACAGGTCCTGGCAAGATTCGAAGTAGGTTTGAAAACATAAAAAAGGTAGAACCAAAACAGCAAGAAGTACTTTAAATAAATACCCTTTGCGGGAACCGAACCACAAGCCTCGAGCATTCAAATCGACTACCATACACAACGGTGCTCCTGATGCTTTAAGAACCGCAACAATATTTATTTATTTTCCTTTACACATTCTTGAAAAGACATTAGATGGGGGCGCTCCCTTTTCCCTTAAGGGTTGAGGCGCTTCATCCAGAGGGAGAGCATCAATATACGAAGTGATTTGCGGGAAATCACTGTTGTACACAATGGATAAGGTTTGTTATATTCTGTTATTTTTCTGGCTGGGTAATATTGCCTGAGCCGCAAGCAATGAGTACCAATCAACGCCACTTCAGCGCAAAAGTCTAGTTTGTTGCAATGTGCTAATACAATGTCAAGCTGAACAGAAACATTGCACGTAACATGGCAAAAATTTTTGATCTAATAAAGTCTGGAATCAGAAAATATTACTCTTTACATAGCTAACGTTATTACTAAGGAGCAAACCAAAAAACAAATTTTTATTATGATTGATAGTTAACAACGTAAATAGCAAGAAAACGAAATGATATTTACATGGGACATCTGTACAAATTTACAAAATCTGATTACTTATTACTCAATGGCATTTTTCTTCTGTAATCGTTTCTCCCAATTTGAACCCCGTTTGCCTTTGTTTGGCACAATCAGCAAAGGCTCTTCCTTGCTTTGCTCTAGAGTATCATTGCGACTCACATCTGCTGATTCTAGAACCTTCTCTTCGGTGAGAATTCTTCGTAAATTTCCTTTGATCATCAGAATTTCTTTTCTGTTATTCAATAGCTTTTCGACATCGAATTGAAGTTGTGTCATTTTATTTCGTAGATCAGAATTATCTTGTTCCAAAAGAGAAATTGTTCTGTCTTTTTTGTTGCACTGAACTTCCTTCAGCTTGATTTTTGACATTAGCAATTGGAAAGGCTGGTTTGAGTTTCCATCAATTAAAGTTCTCATAGCTTCTAGCTCAACTGTCTTAGCTTGAACTTCATTTCTTAACTCTCGATTTTCGTTTTGCAGATTCGCAATTGCGTTTTCAAGAGATGCTATTTTGTGGTAAGTCGTATAATCATCACTGAGTTTCTCGGAGTCAAATCTTGAAGCTAATTTTTGCATGAAGTCCCTCGATTCGCTCTCTTGATGATTCATTCTCTCGGCATCTCTCTTTGGGTTTAAATTTACGTCGTTCTCTTTTAGTTTTAACTGGTGTTTCAAGGAAAGAATTTCTTGCTGACATTGGGTCTGGAGTTGTTCGTACTCCGCAGTAACGACTTTCAGTTTTTTCGAAATTTTCTCATTCTCTAAATGCAAATTCCTTGAGTTTTTCAAAGCCTCCTCCAAAGATAACACCGTTCGATCAGCTTCGAAAAGTTTGACTTTGGCGTCACCTTCTATTTTTGTAACTCTAGTTTCAGCCTCTGCTTTCACTTTCTGCAATTCCTGCCATAGCAAATCGTTCTTTTCTTTCACTTCTTGCTCAGCGTTAAGAGCTCGGTTCTTTTCTACAATCAACATTTCATTGCTTTCCTTCAGCGACCTTCTTTCTCTTTCGTGCAAATCAGTCAAACTAGTTTTCACATTTTGAAGATCATGATCATGACGAGCTTTTATCTCTGCCAGTTCTTGTCTAAGCCGGTCATCAAATGTGAATCGATCCTCTTGTCTCGAAGATACGTACTTCTCGTATGTTTCTTCTCTAGCTTTTTGCATGCTGTCAGCGTGGTTCTGAGCATAACTGAGCTTTTCGTTTGCCGATGCAAGTTTCTCACTTAGTTCGACATTCTGCACTCCCACAAACTCTTTGTCTCGTTGAAGCAAGCTAATAGTCTGCTTTGCGGCCGTTAAATCGCTATCAAGCTCGTCACGTTCTCGCTGGATAGCTCGGTAGGCTAACTGGAGATTTTTGAATTCTGTTTGCTGTGACTCAAGTTCCAAACCTAATGAATCTCGTTCCGACCTCACTTGCTCAAAATTTTTAATCCTGTAGTCTCCCTCTTTGATTTCCTTTTGAGTATCTTTCAGTTCAACGGACAATTTCTGGAATCGAACGATCATCTCCGCATGCTGTTTATGTTCACTGGTCAGTTTATCTACAATGCTTTCATACTGACTTTTCATATTATTTACTTCGTCTGTTGCCTCTTTTAAAGCTTTTCGCAGAGATTCTTGTTCCTCTTTGAACTTCTCTACTAGTGAATGCATCTTTAGGAGCGTGAAATCGCGAATTGAAAGGGAATCTTCCGGCATGGCTTTCAGTTTGTAAAACTTGTCTTGACTCAGCATCTGCGGAGAGCTTGAAAAAGATAGAACTCTGCGCACGTCGCCTGCCTGGCTTTGTAACTTTTCATTAATTAGCTCCAAATCGTGTTGCCTTTTCAAAATCTTTTGAAGATCTGAGCGCATGGATTCATGTCTCTTTTTCATCTCATCCCGAGCAGATGAATGGACAGTCTGTTGTGAATCAAGTTTTGTCTGTAGGATACGCCTCTGATGTTCTGCCTCCTGCAGCCGCTCTTCCATTTCGTCAACTAAAGCCATCTGATCTGCTTTCATATTATCCATCTGCAGCACCTTTTTAGATATTTCCATCTTGCACAAATGAAGATCGTGCAATAATTGCTGTTTTTCTTGGTCAAAGTGTGCATGCGTGTCTCCAATGACGCCTCTTTGAGTATTGGCATTCTCATTAGCCCGCCGACGACCATCTGGGGAGGAAAGAACGGCATTTTCCATGCGCTCGAAGTCAGATGTGCCATCGTGCGTTTCACTGAATTCTGGGGGCAATGAGCCTTCGAAGAAACTCTGTTCTTCCTCGCCTTCCATATTGCCTAAAAATAGAACTGCTGAATGCATAAACTTGAAAAACTTTCTCATAGCCATCCAGTGGTAAGATATTAAAACCAAAAAACTACATTGGCTAAAAGTGCTAGTGCCAGTCGGTCATATTTGGAAGTTTGACCTTGAATTAGAAGTTTAATCTCGATTTTGGGGACAAAAGTAATTTTTTTAAATTTCGAATGGAGCCTGTCATGCTCAAGTTTCTCGCGACAACTGAAAATGAAAATAAAATTACACAGAAGATTGGAGTTAGAATCGCGGGAAAGTCGCTAGAAAAATACGAGAGTAAAATTGCTATTCGCAAATTTACCGGAATAGTTCGACACGACTAGAGCTGTCTTGTTCCTTACAGGGAATCGAGAGTTCAGGAAGAAGTAAAGAAGAACAATTGAATGGACCAGAGTGACACTTGAGTGGGAATGTGACATTCGACCAGAATGTGTCAAAATGCAAGTTCGAATTCGAAGTTTTATTGATGCATCGGACAGGGAAGATTGATAGTTTTAATAAATTAGAGGTCCTAATCGTTCATTTTGACGAACTCGGAAGGGTCAATTTGGAAATCCATGTTAATTTTTAAAAATTCGATTTGGCCGTGAACGACACGTAACTTTTCATTATTTCGCACCAACTGATCCTGCGAAATCAGAACAACAGTAGTCTCAGTGACAACAACAACGGAAAAACGACAGCAGGTTGAGATTGTGATTAGAAATTGTCAGAAACCATTCCGAGTTGTAACGAATTGTCACCTCTGGGACAGAGCGACCACGTTCTCATAGAAGTGGAGTTACTCGCGCACCGCAAAATTAGTAAGACCATGATTAGATACAACTTCGCTAAAGGAGACTACGACCAAATGAGAGATGAAGTAAAAAAAATAACAGTGAAGATAATGTTGAGAAACTTTGGACGGATTTGCGCGAACTCCTGATTGAACTATGTAACATTCGCCCGGAAGATACAGATCGACGGATAACAAAACTAAGTCTTAAGACGACTGGCTAGCGTCTAAACAGAGCTTTGCATGTTTTTCACCGTCTCTACCAAGCCAGTACTTTTCGGTGGTCTTTCTTACATCAGGCTGACAAAAACGTTACTGTTCTCCGGCTTCGACCAGAACGCTCAAATTAACTGAATTACATGCAAAATTAGTGAGCTCATGGCTGGGTCTCTGTATCCCCAGACCACGAGGTCACTCCTAAAAACAGGGCTACTACTTATCATATTACTATTGTTTTTGTTCAGTAGATAAAAATCATCATCTCCATCGAAGATGGATCAACCCTTTCCCCCAACTCCTAGCACCTCATCCTTGTCAAAACTAATCAAAATATCAGTTAAATTCAAGTCAGGACATGACAGGATGCTAAAATTCAATACAAGTTCATAAAAGTTCCCGTCCCGAGACCCTTCCGGATTCTTGAATCCGGCGAATCAAGCTCCTTAACCTCAGGTTCACGCTAACTCGGAGGGCTGGTTTTTACCCTTCACCGTTGTTCGCAACGGCCTTGCAACTATTGTAACAGCACAATAGTTGCAACTCGGAACGTCCTCTGCTGTTCGGTAGTTCGTTGTTGTTTTTTAGTCTCGATTTTCGTACTGTTCGTAATCGCAGATAAAGTTGTTCTGTTTCTTTCTGCTATTTAAGCCAAAATGGCCGTTTTAACATTTCTCAGAAATGTTACGTCATCACTTCGAAAATTTAAAATTTAGAATTCCAGAATCTTCTAGCCTTCACCGTTTGGCCAATCATTCAAATAACGTCCTTATCCGTTCTAAATCGCCAATCCGGAAGGTTCACTGCTAAAATCCTGAATTCTGCAGAGACTGCATTTTGGCCATTCTGGTCGAATGTCACATACTCCCCGGACAGTCCGGTCAATGTCCTCATTGAATCGCGCAATGTTCTAAATGGTTACAGTGTCATCGAACAGAATTTACAAAATGCACGAAATTACCTTTACCTACGTCACATCGACTCACTGCAGAATATAAATGGCATCATACTACATCACTATAGCCTTCAAATTCTTTCATTAATCTGCACATTGAGGATATGACTTAAGATAAAACATATTTTCTGACTTCCAGTGTCTATATCCCGATTGAAACTTTTTCTCCTAGATTTAAAAGGTGTTGGCTTGCAGGACAGTCCTGCCAACCAACAAGCTAAAATTATCCTACTATGCTCCTTCCCTTCGGAAATCTTGCTTGTTCATTGTCCTGAATATTAAAACCAAGAGACCTCGTGGTTAGAAAGAACAATGCAACAACCTCCCTCCTCAAGAAGTTACTCAAGTTTTTCATGTCACCACAAAGTTATCAGTCTTCCTAAGTGATTAAAAACAATGATGCAGGCTGGAATATTTAAATATACTCTTCCCTCAAGCCTTTCTAAATAAATAATAAGTGAGTGTCTCTAAAGCCACTTCAACTAAAACCAAAATGCAAATTTATAAATGCAACAATTTCCAAACTCAACTTAAATGTTTCAGTTTTCAATTACAACTTGATTGCTTGGTTTCTCACTTGAGTTTTTCACACACATAAAACAATTCTGAGTTTTAACTTTCTTCATCATCCCTTTGTTCTCTTCTTTTTTCGTCGTTTAGAAGTTCTAAAACTTCTAAATTCTTCTAATTTTCTTTCTTGCTGCCTCTTGTTTTCTCGACCATTCGTCAATGCTCCATTTCCTCCTCCTGTGACACTGACTCCGCACTCTCGGTTTCCGTGTCTTGTAGCACGTCATTGACTATCCTGACGCTGTTGGAAGCCGTCCTCCAACACTTCTGCTCTTCCACCCTCTGTTTACAGCAAGGTAGGGGATCCACGTTTGATTCTCTGTTTCTACAGAAGCTGTTGTGGAGACACAACGTCACGTTTCTCTCCAAATCTTCTTTCAGCATCTCTGCCTTCTCATTTCCACTACGCTCGCTCGTCCTGGAAATTCTTTTCACAGCGGTGGTCACTGCATTCCGATGGGTCACGAAAGCTCGCTTGAAAGCTCCTGCCCCAATGTCCAGTTGATATTCACTGTATACTCTGCCATGCTTCGACATATGCTTTTTCGCATACTCGTACAACCATGCAGTCATGTTAGCTCTGAACCATGGCATCAATCGTTTTCTTGCCCATATCTTCTTCACTTCCATCGGAATGTTTAGAACTTTGCACATTGTCTCAAAAAGATCTAAATCTTTTAGACAATCTAATTTCTGCAATTGTTCTCTCGTCGGTGCCTCCTGTCTATTATTTTCTCTCACAAGAGCTTCCAGCCATCGTATCGCCATCATAACTCCCACTATCACTATTGTTATGGGCTGTGATGAATCTGGTAAACCCATGGAGAGCAGCTCTCCAGAGTCCCAGATCAACACCAGATTACTACGCTTGGGATACCACCAGGTCTGCAGCAAGCAGTGGCAAGGAAACTCGTCATGTGTCAACATGATGCTCCTCCAATTCCGTTTTCCCGAAGCTTCCAGCAATGGTTCTACTTCCATCATCACTCGGTGGATTTCATCATTCTCATCTACTGCATTGTAATCTGTGACAGTTGATCCTCTCTGTTTCTGTTTTTCAAAGTCACTGAAGTTCCCGCTCACATATCCCATGAACTTCTTTCCTAGTATTGACTCCAACTCCTCTTTGGTTCTCTCTGGAACTGCTGAGAACATCTTACATAGTAACTCGTAAGACTTTTCAGACATTCTCGCCAATCTCACGCACTTTGGCACTGAGAAAGCTTGATCCACGATCGTTCTTGTACTCTTCACGTCCACAGCCACGAAATGTACAGGGTATCTGCTCTTGCACATTGGAGCCAATGTTGAACCCACCAAATATCGTGCTCCTGATGGTCTACAATAAGTTTCGCTGTGTCTGATGTTCATCTCCGTTTCGATTGCTTCCCTCCATTTTCCTATATACTTCTGCTCAGTCTGCAGAACTCCTGGGAATACTTCTACGCTGATGGCTGTGACCATCTCATGTTTCTGTTCTAGATTCAATAGTGACTCCAAAGAACCAAACATGCTGTAGAATCCTAGTGCTGTCACTAGATTCACATCGGTTCCTCCATGGCAATCTGCTATCAGTTCCGTTTCCGTTCTTGCTTTCATCACTACATTTCCAAACAATACCGTCAACTGCTTGTGTTGTTTCTCCAGGGTTTTCACACAGTCTAGACTTCCACAAACGTGACCCTCTAGTCCACAGACTTCCGCCAGACAGCTACCAGGTTTGACCCAGTCTTCTGGTCCCCAGCCAGGCAACTCCACTCTATCTTCTCCGTTGCTCTTAGAGGCTGTTATCATCACATTATATATGATGTTGAGGTCACACAGGTTACAGTCCGCATTCAGTTCCCTCTGTATGTCCTGTGTCGCCCGTAATATTGAGTCAGCGTTGGGACTAGGACACCACGATGGTTTCATCAATTCCCACACTGCCATCAAGCTCGTTCTCAGTAATTCATCTGAGAATCCCAACCCAAATTCCACTCTCTTGTCGGATTTTGGTACTGAAGGTGCAGTCACCTCTTCTTCCAAGACCAGTCCCAATTTGGCCTGTGAATTGTTGACGCTTTTAATCGTTACAATCCTGGACGTCCAGAATCTTAGTAACACCGCCTGCTCATAATCAAAGAAGCAATCGCGTATGTCTTCACTCAGGAAAGGATTGTACGCTATCCCTATGATCCCGGATACATAGCTATATGACTTCTTCTTGATCGGTCCACAGTATTCACTGGATTTCGGCAATGCTCCCATAGATTCTTTAGTGAGCCTCAACTCCTTGTTTGAGAATCTCCTGATCTCGTCTATCTTTTTCATGGGTTCCAATTCTTCAGGTTCTTTCATGTTCACCCTCATCGGTTTACTTTGCTGCATATCCAGCATTGCTAGTAAGAACATGGCTTTCGTTCGCTCATCGCCTTCCTTCAACATTTTAACACAAGTGCTTAATGCAGGTACTGAGATCT